TGCATGTTTAGCACGTGCCTTCGGTTCCTCTTGTTGCACACTCGAATGTTGCTGCTGTTGCTGTTGCTCGTGTGCGGTAGTTGCTGCCGTTATTGTTGCAGTTGCTGTTGCCGTTGCCTTTGCTAGTGCTGATAATGCGTTGACCGCCAACGCCGCAAACTAGATTGTTACGTTTATAATCATTAGGCAAGTCGGTGATTTGTTTTCCTTTTCCTACTTTTTTTTTATAAGCATTGATTCTTTGGGCTATGAAAGTTGTTGGTTGTTACCACAAAAGCACCGTTAATATGAGGTTGCTTTTCTAGTACGAAAGTGGAAACGAACTGGAGGCTACTTTTTGGTAGCTGCAAAGTTTTGCTTAAGTTATAAACTCTGTGGGTTACAGAATCTCATTTAACGGAAGTTCTTCATTTTATTGTTTTTAAAAATTTACATTTTTAAAGTGCAATGCCTACAAAAACTTTGATATATTCAAAGTTCTTTGATACTTACTTCTTAAAAACCATTTAGGCAAACTCTCATCTTTGTTAAAAAAAAAAGTATTAAACAAACATTATAGGAAACAACAATGTAAAAGGTCGATTTTAAATTGTCTATAAAAGAGGCCATCATTACAAAATTACCCAAAATACGTATTATGAGAGTCTGAACCTCAATAAGATTCGATTCCCATCAAAAAAAGTTCAATCTGGAGAAACACAACTTAAAACTCAATCAAATCCCCTTCAGTTACATCACAAGCTGGACTCTACCACTGAAGTTTTCTTTCACATCTCTGTCACTCGGCTTAACCGAAAATTAATTTCAATTTTTGTTTTTGGCACATAACGCCTCGTCACACTTCCTGTAGAAAGAAGAAAAACCCCAACTCACCGGCCGCATAACACATTCCGCCGCACTCGCACACTCAACGAGAAACCAACAAATTGCATTTTAATGCTACTTTCCAAATCAATTTTCAAAACCAAACGGCGGTTGAGGGGAATCGGAGGTGCATTTCCCTTTAAAAAGTTGGGGAGAGAGGGAAAAAAATAGAGATATGGCCAGAGGGATATATGGCGGGGAGCCGGGTCGGAGTTAGCCACAAGAGTGCCTGGGCAAAAGGCCAATATAAAAATAAATAAAACTTAAGTCAGCCAAGTGACAGTTATGGATGAGAAGGCTGCACTCCAACTGGGGACCCAACTCCAAAGTCGGGACCCGGACTTGGAGCCCCGGCCTGAGCCAAAGTAACGAGTTGACTGCGCGATAAAAAATCTAACTTTAATACGAATTAAGATAAACAAATAATGAGAAAAGGAGAGGAGGAGAGGAGGGGGGACATCTAATCGAATGTTTGTAGATGGCAATGGAGACCTCCAGGCCCAAGCTCAAGTGACAAGTGCGAGCCTAGCCGGGGCTTTTGACATTTGCTGAATATGAGACTGCTACGAAGACGATGATGATGATGATGACTACGTGGATTTGCAGTCGTTGTTTATGTTTACTCGAACGCTGAAACCTTATGCCTAATAATAGGGTCGACTTTGAAATGCATACGAAACGGGGCAGAGGGGCTGGAACTGGGACTGCGACTGCGACTGGAGACATAGTTCGCCTCGCTTTTGTCGGGGGCGTTAGCCACGGTGCAAAATGTAGAGCTGCGGAGTTGATCTCCATGTTGCCGATGCTTGACATTTATGTGAACCCAGGCAACAATAACACGTTGGTGTACGTACCACCGACAGAACGACACGAAACCGAAAAAACAAAAAAAAAAACAAAGCCAAACCAAACCGGAGATCCAAGAGATCCCAGTGATCGTGGGCAAGCACAGGCAAAGTCAACTCGCTCGAGTCATGAATCTTATGACGCCTACGTGTACTTTTGGCATTTGGCATGTCAAATACAATAAGTACTAGGGGAGCCCCGGTGCCAGAGATCAGAGCTGCGAGTACACTGGGCCCAGATGGAGATGGAGACCCAAAACCGGCGGAGCCTGCGATGATTCTTCTTCGGGTTCAAGACTCTCGAGGCACTGCGTTGGCCGCTACGTTGACTTCTTTTGACAGCTTCGGTTTGAGCCCGAACTTGTTTCGGGCTGAGCAGAACATTCCTGGTCTGTCATTAACCGACAGAAACTAATTCGCTCCAAATAAGTTCAAGGCGGAATGCTGATAGATTGACAAGGCAAATGGGTTCACAGATGTTTGCCTGGGCTTTGCCTTAAATTGCAAATTCGTCATCTTGAGTTTCTTTAGAAATGAGATGGGGATGTCGGTAATGGCTTGATTGTGAACTTAAATAAGTTTAAGGGGTTACGGTTGTATACTCATTAAGTCGGTTCTATTGGGAGTCCGTAGACCTCAATTAAATTTGGTTATCTTTCAAATTGGTAAGTATTTATTAGTCAATTTTATTGTTGGAAGACAACCTTTTATGTTTGCACAAAATTTAATTACATTTCGCACAGAGGGACTATTCAAATAAATAAATGTTAAGTCAAAAGTTAGCTAATCATAGAGCGAACAATAATGAATTGATTGGTAGCTCCTGACAATGTAGATATAATGGATAAATCTAGTTAGTGCTTACTTCTTGAGGTTAGAGATTCGATAGCCAAACAGAAGTAAGCATTTCAAAATGATATTATTTTTGTGGGACGTTGATGGACAGTCATTAGTATTCATTAGTCCTTACGGAACCATATTCCCCTTGGTGAGTATAATCGCACAATAAATCATTATTTGATTTCAATTTGTCTTTTTGTGTACAAAGGTTTTTGGTTAACCCAACGAATCTAAATTACAGACCCATGGCTTAAATCTTCATCGGTGATCTAGGCATCTTCTATCGATCAAATTTCTAACCTCCTCTTAGGTTTCCTCGCATTCCGGAGAGCCAACCCACCTGCTACCTCAGTGCACTTAATCAGCCAATAATTCATGACAAACTTCGGCAGAGGAGGGGGTTTGAATTTGTGGCTCCCTCCCGCAGCTCGTGTCGCTGATCACGCATAGAAATTATTATTGTGCTTTAATATAGCCATAAATCTGAACATTTAAAATGCAGAAAATATCGCATCCTGCTGCGTTAGCCAAACCAGAATGCAGAGGAGCACAAACTGGGGATGGGTCCAACTTATGACTTCATCTGCATTTTTATGGCGAATGCCCTGGCGATAATAAACCCTGGCAGGGATCGAGCCACCCATGCGTGCTCCTAGAAAAAGGGGGTGCCACAGGGGCGGAGGTGGAGTCGCACTGAGGCAATATCAATAACACTTGCAACTCTGTCCGTCGCCGTACGACTGCAACATGATGCGACAACGTTGTTGTCGTCGTCGTCGTCGTTGGACAATGTCACTGAACCAGTTCTCAATGTCTTCATATAGATTTCCACGGCCTGCGAGAGTCAACCTCTGCACTAAATATTTACAACCTCCACAATATCTCAACGACCGACAACGACGACAAAAAGACTGAAAGGAAAAAAACAAAACTAAACAGAAACAGAAACGAGGCTGGTCTTTTCTATCGCCTGGCCTGGCGGAACAAGTTCATGCAACTGCTGCAGCCCCAGCACCAGCACCACAAAAGGTGTTCAGGCGACCAAGACCGAGCCCAAGAGCATCCAACAACCAACAACCAACAACCAACGATCAACGACCAGCGACCAGCGACCAGTGTCGTTGTGGCCATAAATTCAATTGAATATTACGCCAATTGCCTTTTTGTCTATCGCGAACCTCGGGGAGGAGTCAAAGTCGGCCTCCAAACTGGTTCCATCATCATCAGTTCGCCAGATATGTTATTTTTAAGCAGATTTAGTTCATCTTTGAATGCACGCTAAGCCGCTTTCGGCGTGCTAATTAGACGACTTTCAAGGCCCCATCTGCGCTGGCTAATATGCATCAAAATGTGTCAACACCTAGAGCTCGGCTCGGGGTCCTGCCATCCGGCCATCCAGCCATCCAGTCCGGCTTAATTGTTAGCTCTTCGCGTACATGGCTATGGCTCTACTCGATCGAACCGAGCCCAGGCCATGTTTTCACTCCATTAACGCGTTGTGAAGTTGGGGCCTTTCGGAGTGCAGATCCTGAACTGGGTCTGGTAATGATGCCTGACGTTGACCGATCGTCGACCGCAAAAGCCAGCCAGCAAGTCAGAGCCACGGCCATAGCCATGGCCAGAGCCAAAAGCCAGGGGAAAAGCCAGATCCAGAGCAAGAGCCGGCCCAGGCTGACCGACCGATCAAAAGTCGTTCAACTTGCCGGAACTGGTCGTAAAGATCACCTGGCCACCATTCCGAGTCGGGTTGAAAGCTGCCTATGTGGAGCATTTTCCTCTCGAACTTGGCCAACGCAACTCGTACCTGGATCTGGAGTTTATGTTTAGGCCGAAGCTCGCGTGGCAGAATATTAATGGCCGCCAGGGAGGAGAGTTCAGTCCGGCCATGATGGGTTCAAATCCCAAAACATAGTTAATCTTAGCTGTCCGACATTCGTTCGGTTTTCGGCAGGAAACCCCCAACAACCGCAGAGAATCAGCAAAAAATAAACGATCTATAGACAGACAATGGGTAAATGAACTTTGACTCCTGGAATGGGTTGAAAAATGCCACTCTCATTGCTTGGGCTCTTCTATCCCAAAGGTTACCAAGGTTCAGTAGTTAAATGTCAGTAAGGGCAATTTTATACAATCATAGATTTGTCTAAGAATTTTAGTCTGGTATAGTACCAAAATCATACCACAAATCAAAATTCCAATACCACAACGATTTTTCATCAAAGGGTTCCAGAGTTTTTCTTAAAATTAAATATCTTGAATAATGGTTCTGTGATGTTTAAAGTCCCAACCTAATTTGTAGTTTACTTTCTAAGGTCCAATTTATTTACCCCTGCCAACTAAGCCATAAAACTCAATTAGTTGCAGCCAAAAGTCTCCTTTCTCCGGCGAATCTCTTTGCTTAATCAACTGCAAATGGGCTAAAAGGGAGAATGTTATGTTTGGTTGGCCTACCTGAACGTATTCGGCGCATATATCAATTCCGCCCACAAAGCCGCACACATCGTCGACGGACCAGGAGTTAACCTCCTCGCTCTGCGCCTGACACCGTCTTCGGGCCTTGCCAGCTCCTGTCCCGGCTCCCGATCCCGGTCCCGTTCCCGATCCAGGTCCCGCTCCCGATCCCTCGCCCGATGCCGAGCCCATTCCCGCGTTGGCGTTACCAGAATTCATCTCGTCGTGCTGCTCCAACGGTGGCGGGGATGGTGTGGATGCAGATGAGCCAGTGGTCGCTGTTGTTGCAGTGGTGGCCGTGGAGCTGGCGCGACGCTCGGCCTTAAATCGCTTGGCGGCCGGCGGCTGGGAGCTCAAATCCAATGGCGCCGCCGACGCAATCGAGGAGCCACCGCCACCGATGGGCGCCACCGTCGAGGAATCGTTGGTGGAACGTGGACTAGACTGCCGCGAAGCGTGATGCGGTTGCTGCTTCCGCTGATGTTGCTGCTGCTGTTGCAGTTGCGCCGAGTAGATCAGAGCGGGTGTAACAAATTGGGCAGCCTGATGCAGTGCGGCATTCAGAGTGGAACTGGAACGCGGCGTGCCCGTCGCACTCGCACTGGGCGACGAGGCATTCGACCCGGAGCGATGTTGCTTGCTGCGCAGAATCTCCTGGATTTCGGCATCTTTGACAGCACGCGCCTACAGAGATTAAAATTGAACAAAGAAAGAAAAGGGGTTTTATAAAAGGAATAATGTATACAAATTACTTTGATTAACGAAGCTTAGAAATGGGCTAACAGTGAGAATAATACTAAGAGTTTCCAAATACCGTAAAAAATCTCTAATTACCGATTTTTTTTAACCCAATGTGGGTTACATTTATATTTGGAAAACATTTACTATATTAATATAATGTTTATTTTTATCTGATTCAAAACTCTTAAGTATAGGCAATTTTTTTAATCAATTTTTGTCAGTCGGCAAAACTAAAATGACGAAGAAAATGTTGTCTACTTTTATTTTTCAGGCAAAGTTCTCAGAAATTTACATCACATTGAGTAAGCGAATTTGTGTTTCCGAACAGTTTGACTTCTGGTTAACTTTCTCTAGGACCTGAACATGACATTAAGCAATCGGTCCTACCTCCAAAATGTCACTAGAAAGTTTGAGTTAGAGAGAATTTGCAATATATATTATTTTACATATACTCATTTGGCCAATTATAAAAAAATAAATAAAACCAATTCGACGTTTAGAGACTTCGGATTATGGAACATGGATTGTTAATTTGAATGATTATAAAATAAATAAAATAGTTTTAATCTAGTATCTCCGATTTTTCTTTATTTTCATACAAATCAAGGTGCCTAAATAGGTGCCCAATAAATGAAGAACCACCGTTAATGGGTAAACTAATTGGGTGGTCCTTGGCTGTTCCCTCTCTTGCTTCATTAGGACAAAATCAGTTTTGAAGTACTCACCAGCGTCAGCAGTGCCTGAGTGCTGCTCATGTCTATCAGCGGCGGGAAAATGCCGGACGAGAAGGGCAGAAAGTTGGTCATAAACGGCGAGACACTCGCTGCTGCCACCACCGCGGCCATTTGGCTCTTGGCCTGCTCCGTGGGCGATGGGGTGGCGGGGGGGAGGGGCGAGCTGCGACAGGGCCGAACCAGTGGATGCAGCACCACCCACACCACCTGCACCACCGGCCACACTCACTTTGGTCTCCTTAGGCAGATTGACGGGGGCAACATTAGCAGCTGATGAGGCCGATGGTGAGAGCTTCTTGGCAGTGGTAGTGGTGGTGGTGCAACTGTTGCTGCTGGCCGACTTGGTGGAGGCGGAACTTGGGGCAGAGGTTGCTGCCCCCGCCGCTCCTCCTCCGCTGGCTGTGGCCGCCGAAGTGCCGCCACTGTTGCCGCTGTCGTAGTAGGAATTGCGTCGTGTTGCATTGTTGCTGCACCGGAAAAAATATATAGTTTAAGAACGTTGAAATATTGGTGAACAATTCACAAGTTTCGTGGTCTTCCTGCACCGAAAAAAATATGTTGGCAAATTGGTCATTAATTCGGAATTTTTGAAGTTTTAATTGGTATCTTACTATTGCTACACAGATTTCTTTTTATGCTCTGAACAGAATAATGGTTTAATCAAAAACCTCGTCATTAAAGTATTACCATTTCATATTCAATGCAAAGCCATTTTGCCAATATTTTCTTTCAGTGAGGATTAGTACCATAACCTATTTAGTTGTTTTAAGGCAGAGCCAAAACTTACTCATTGGGATTTGTATTGTTGTACTTGGCCGCCAGGCATCGCATGATGTCCGAATAGTTGCGGGTGGAGAAATCCGTGGCATTCGATGCTGCAGCACCCTCTGTTTTGGCGGTGTTGCTGCTGCCACTGATGTTGCTGCTGTTGCTGTTGCTGCGATGTTGCTGACTGGCAGCAGCCTGCTGAATGCTATTTAGCAAATTCGTTGACAAATTGTGCAGCGGCATGTGTGTGGCTGCTGCTGCTGATGATGATGATGTTGCTGTTGTTGTTGTTGTCGTTGCTGGGCCACTGGGCGGACTAAGGCGTTGTTGTTGTTGTTGCTGTTGCTGTTGCTGCTGGGACTGTTGCTGTTGTTGTTGCTGGCTGGGTGAGACACCACCACCGCCGCCACCACGAAACGATGACGAGGAGGGAGTGGCGCTGCGAGATCTGTTACAAAAAGTAAAAAACAGAAACAAGAAAACATATGGATTAGTTATGTTAAGAGGAGCATTTAGCAGGTTTTGCATAAGTGGTAGAGTGTGACATCAGCATGGTAAATTTACTATATTCTACCCCATGATCTCTCATAAATTTGCATTAATATTTAATTATCTAGAGTTCCCATTCAGCGACCGAATAGGTGTCGCATACAATTGGATTATTTGTCATTCTTTGAGTTCTCCGCACAGCATCTGAACCAAGTTCTCCTGGCTTTTTTGACATGCTAATGAGTGGCTTCCGTGAGATCTTCTTTTCTAAAAAAAAAGCTCCCAAGAGTTTCAAGCAGGTGCGACTGCGATCTGCGTCATCTGGACGTTTTGATATTTAGTTAATTTCTTTGGAGAAGTGGCAAGGCATTGGGCATAATGAGATTACAAATGCAATTTGACATGGGAACTGTTTTCCAAGGAGAGGATTGGCGGAAGGAGTCCATAAACTGGTATACAAGTGAGAAGCCTGGGAGAGTTCACTCAATGATATAAATGTGTTACAATTATAGAACAGTTTGAAGAATCCGATTCATTTATTTATTTGCTAGTAATTGTGTTTAATTAAATAATGATGGTGTAAAAAATGACCTATTGTATATTTAAATACAAATTTTTAATTGCTTAATTATTCATTATTTATTTCCCTGATATATACAAAATATAAAAAAGATCAACAAAATATTTAATAAAGCTTATACTACTATTCCTTGAATTATAATTTGTTTATTTCCTTTAAAGACCATGTTCTTGGTTATCTAGTCATAATTCTTTTGGTAATTTTCAATCTTGTTCAGACGATCGCAGAACATTTTCCAAACAATTTCATTTTGGATGCTCTCGGATCGAAACGAAACAATCCATGTTAACCAATGTCGAGCATTTGTGGGCTACAATCTGGCCGGCATGGCCATAACTCATATGCAACTACCGCCGGAGACATGCCACCAACATGGCGCAATCGTTGGGTCTGCAGCCACATCCACAGCCACATCCACAGACACATCCACATCCACGTCCACCCATTAGCCATTCCTAGAGCTCTCCAACACGAGTCAAGGCAAGGCAAGGCTGGCCGAAAAGAAAATAATCAGCATAGATTTCTGGCCAGATCGGCAGTGGCAGCGGTCACCTCCTAAACCGCGCCATGCCGCAGCCAGTGGCAGCCAGTGGCAGCTGCAAGTGCCTGCCTCTATTTCAGCTTTACCAAAGCGTTGTACTGCATGCCACCAGAGGTGGCAGTTTGGGTTGTCCATTCCGAATTAGGACTCTTATTTAAAACCAAAATTCACAAATCTATACTTCTTGTTTTCTAAATTAAACGAAAGATTAAGTAGTTTTATATTTAATTAGAAAATATAATAATTCGATCTCACTAATAAAAAACCTTATTAGATTATCTTAAAGTTCGAACTTGAATCAAGGAATATCAACAGTCGTTTTCTTCCTATAGAGCATCATCTTAAGTAAGGATGCTGTACAAGGGCACATACTCCATTCTATTTAATTTACCTTTAAAAGTATTTGAATGGCAAAAAAGGATGCAAAAAATTACTAACACATATTTTGGTCAGAGTTTAAAATGCAATTAGTTTGGGAAGCAGTATTTACTTTAGGAGAATTACCATAACTTAATGACTTATAGGGCCGTCTATAGTTAATAAATTAATACATTTTCTAACATTTTATCTGGCTAAAATAGTACTAGAGGCATACAAAACTATCCTGTTTCTTTAATTTTCTAACTTTTTTTTAATGCCAATTGTTGCGCACCACTGGTGGCATGCCACACGGCTAGGTGGTTGTGGCATGAACGGGCCAGAAGAGAGTAACTCGTGCTGCACGTCGTCGTCGCTGGTCGTTGGTCATGTCGTGTCGCTCTTTCGGAGGCTGCGGCACAAATTTATATATAGCAACTTGCCGCCCAGCCACCGTACCGCTCCTCCCCCGCCACTGTACCGCCCCCTGCCCACTCAGCTGGCTCCCTGTGTTGTTCCTGTTGTTGTTGCCATTGATTTATCGTGATCTGCTGGTTGTCGATTTTTTTTGGTTGCTGTTATTTTGTTCGTTCGCCGGTTCGTTGTTGCCTCCGCTGCTTACAACTCTGTTGTTCTTTTTTGTCTCGTATTTTGTTGTATCTTTTTTAGTAATTTTTTTTTGGTTTTGTTAAAAATGTTGATTATTGCAAATTGCTTTGGCGATTGGTAGCAGCTACTTAGTTGTGTTTTGTTGCTTGTTCTTGGCAATTGTTTGAACAGCAAGCAGATCAACCAAAAAAAAAAGCCATGAAAAAATGGTTTATAGTGGCGATTATGTTGGCCACTGCTACTGATCCCCCAGCCCCAACTTCACCTAATCTCGATGTGTGCCTAACGGTTTGGTTGGCTCAGATCTTTAGATTGGTGGCATGCCTAATTGGTTTTTATTATACAACCGACAACATGTGCCCGCTTCGGTATGCAAATGGTGTCTATTGTTACGCCTACACAAGACCCGATAAGTCCCTAATAAAAATAAGTGTATGTGAATACAGTGCGGTTCGAAACTCCAGCACAGTTTACATCAAGAATTCCACAAATAGATTTTATCTATCAAATCGAGACCAAATTCACAAACGCACCGAAACTTGTATTTTATATTATTTGTTCTTAGAACAAATCGAATTTAAAACATTCCACTTAATAGAGATATTGTTTGTGAGACGCACTGTTTGAATCTATTTAAATTTATAGAATTTGCAGACGAAAAATTCAGCAAAACAAAAAACGAAGAGACAAAAGAGCTAGAAAAAATGTGTTTATTTGTTGTGTTATGCCGATATACTGCACCCTTTTGGATAGGCACACAACAAAAACATATAACAAAAGCTTTTAAAACCCACAATTAGAAATTCGACTATTAAGTGTTCTTATACTTTTACAACTATAGTTTAAATATGCAAATAATCTAATAAATAAAATAGAAACACCATCAAAAGGTCAACTATAAGCTGAATGAAGCAGACATCGAATTTGTGAATGGGTGTGATGAAAATCAAGTTATGACAAGAACTATGTATAATGCTGGAAGTCCCAACTGGGGAAACATTTGATCAGATGTGACCAACAGGTGAGTATTCGCATTAAATTTGCATTAATTCGTCGATATTTATGATATAAACATAGTCTTCAAACAAGATCTTCGCCCAGCCCTAAAGCCATTCATTTGTCATATCGTATTAAGGCATCTGCAAGCTGCCTTAATAAGCCTCCCTAATTTGTGGATAGACAATTATAAATTATGAATAATATGCGGCTAATCCAATCTTTTTGAGATGACCACCCCGAGCGGAATTGGGGAACCCACGGAAAGATGCGAATCGAATATGTTAAATCCGAATCTATTGTGGCTCGATGTGAACACCTCAGGTGGCGATGGACTAGCATGTCTCATTAATATTAATATGGCCAATCGTTCGCCCAACTAGTATCTCTGTATCCATCTGTGCTGAGGCCTAAGGCTTGTTTAGGTTTCATGTTTGCTTTCGGGAGATAAATTGCCTTTATTTATATTAGTTAATATATAATCTTTAACGCCATTAATTTAGTTGCGGGTATTAATTGCTGTTGATTTCGCTTGTCAAATCACTTTTTGTCTTTATCTCAGTCGTGGTCTGGGCCTTATTAATTTTTTGTCTTATTTGTATTTACATTTCAAGTTTTTCAAGTTGTTTTTCTTTCCTTTTCTTGGCGGGTTCTTTGTTATTGCCTCTTTTTGACAGCAGAAGCGTGCTCTTGTGTAGACACATTCGTGTTCGTTGCTTTTTGTTTCTTGGTTTTGATTAATTTACTTTGGCTGCGAACAGAAGCCACATCGATTTGGTTTCTTTTGGAGGTATTAATTTATTAAAATGTTAATTAATTTGTCAGGCGTCGACAGCCGTCGAATTCGCTTGATAAATAGCCTAGAAACGAGTTTGTGGGGGAAATGTATCCTCTTTTTCCAATCAACATGGCTATGAAATTGATGTGATCTAATATCAAATAATATTTATATCAAGTCTCTAGAATATGACTGACAAGGAAAAAAATCGTGTGCCAGAGCCAGTGTTTGACGATTCCAGTGAGGACGATCTTAGCCAGGACGATCCCAGTCGCGATGACTCCATTGGCACGACCACTGTCAGCATATCGCCCTCCATCCTGCGACCCACCAATCCTTCCAGGCACGACCTCTCGAATGCCCCCTCGATTGTCATTTCGCTGCCCGATGCCGAAAGTGACACCAATTCCGAGGAAACCGCGGAGCATCGACTCCGGCGAAGGATGAGATTTTTGGAAATGCGGCGGGAACATTACAGTAACATGCACAGTGAGCGGTGCCACATGGAGCACTCCGAGGATGAGGATCACGAAGAGCACAAAAAGCCCAACTAGAGACTGGTTCTATTATCGTACCCAATCGGGTGATAAGCATTAGAGGGAAACTAATCACATTGCTATCCCTCAGCTTTACAATTGTTCAAGTTTAATTAACAGCTACAAATTTAAACAGGAAAGCCGAAACACTTAATTACGAGAAGAAAGGATCTACAAATTTAATGTTAATGAAATGTGTTGGTAAAATAATTACAATTTGGTTCTATTTTGTATAACTCGAATTTGACTTATAATTCTGGTATGGTAGGTAACTGCTCTCCAAACTTTGCAGGAACCCGTTCCTAACTTTTTTCACATTTCATGATTATTGCATTAATTGCGTAAGTTTATCAGTTCCAGTTCATATTTATTAAATAAAAGATTGGGCTTTACGCAAGGAATTTTCGTATATCTTAAAACGGTTCAAAATGTGGATAGTGAACTTTTTATATTATTCAATCTAATGAAAAAGTCTAGAAATCTTGGATATTCCAATGATTATCAGTTTTTACATTATTTAAATTAAATTAGTATAATTTAAATAATCTAGCATATTTCGATGAGTATTATCTAAACACAGTGTTTTAACTGGTTAAGCTATTCGATGTCATGAATTGAATCATTTCAAAACGGGATCAAAAGACCAAGGTAATGTCACGAGTCTGTGATTCAATATCAATTGAATGAATCAACTTTGGCCAAAGTCCCCTGAAACTCACCTGGCAAATGAGCTGACGGTGAGTTCGCCGTTGTGGCTGCTACTGTTGCTCCCTGGACTGAGCCGCTCCCTTTTGACGCCGTGGCCCAGGTGGTGTGCTTGGTGTTGTGATTGACTCGATTGGTGGTTGCTGATGTTGCTACTGCTACTGCTGCTGTTGTTGTTGTTGATGGTGTTATTGTTGTTGTTGTTGTGAATGGTGACCATCGGCGCATCCTTGTGATTGTCCATCTGCAACGGCGACAACTTCTCATTCTTGACCTTCTCCAAATAGAGAGCGGCATAGGCAGCAGCCACGGATGCAGTGGTGTTCGCATTGGTGGTGCAGGTGGTGACGGCGGCGGAGGACGAGGAGGAGGCAGCTGAGGAGGGTGCACCCAGATGGGCGGTGGATGGCGTGGCGGCCTGACTAACCGCACCACCACTACCACCACCACCACCCGCACCACCGGTGGCCGCCTCGCTCAGCTTCTTGGCGCTACTCTCGATGGCCCCATAACCGCTGAGCAGTAGCGACCGCTCGCTCAGCATTTTGGCAGTGACCGCAAGGGAGGTGTATGAAACGGGGCCTTCCGAACTGCTGCTCCTGCCCTTCTGACCCAGCTGCCGCAGATCGCTGGCCAGCCGCTCGAGGTGCGTCCGCTTGGTGGCTGCAGCGGCTGTCGTGGCCGCTTGCTGGTCGTCGTGGGTCGCCGGTTGGGCTGCGCTGCGACCGCCCACAATGGCGGTGGTGGCCTTGGCTGGCTTCTGCTGCAGTATGTCGGTGGGTGCGTTACCTGCAAGTGGAAGAAACAGAGTGTGAGATGGTCGGAAAGTGCAATAAAAGGGTTTTCTGTACTTAGTTTTAAGCTAACTAGCTGGTGTAACACAAATCTACTTCTTGAGATTTTATTAGAGTTCCTTAACTCTTAAGCAATATATATTTCATTGGAATCATTTGAAATAGATGTGCATAAGGAGATCCATTTCTCAACGTAGGTCTTGGAATCTAAGAAGAGTAAAGTCCCCAAAGCTTTATAGTTAGTCTTCTCGAACCATCTTGTAAGTTGTAATAACTGTAGTAAGTTTAAAAATCTGAGGCCAGGCTATGATTTGGGTAAATATCGAAGAAGATCAATATTTATTTATTGTGTATATAAAAAACTATTTTATAATAGTTTAAAGCTTTTTAGAGGTGCACAGTTTTTTGGACTTTTGTAGAGTTTGCCCTTGTATTACGTGATACTAGCAATTGCTTGAACCCTTTCCTTCATGTAATCAATTTATCAAAGAAAATAAAAAATGGGTTCTAATAACCCCACTATCTCGACGATTACGTAATATATGGTATTATCATCCATACCTTAATAACTTAAAAAAAACATTTATTTGATAAAATTAGCCAATATTAACCTCAAATCTTGTCAAAATAAACAAAAATATTGTAAAATAAATTTTAAATTCTTAAAAATTGAAATTTAAACTGTTAACGCCAACTTATAGTAGAACCAATAAGCACACACAAGAACACACTCGCAATGACACGCACCCATAGACTGAGTAAAAAACATTGTGGTGTAAAAAGCTCGTGGCTTGCGTCGCATGCAAATCGGCCAAAGGTTAAAATAACTTATAATATGTTAACAAAACCATTGACCTGCATCGTTGAACCCTTAAGCTAATTATCGGGGTGAGCCAGGGGGCGCGAAGTGCACGTCTACGTTGCGTACAGTACGGCAGAGTGCGATTCGAACAGTTACAGGGCCCGGAAAAAACAATCATTAAACAAACAAACAGCAGCAAACCCAGACAGTCGAAACAAAAGCCAAGTGAAATGGGGAGTTAGGTGGCAGCAACAATCGTACGCATTTAACTTGGAGATAAGGGAACCTCTGTAGGGGTTAAATAAGAGTATTCGAGAAATAGTTTTTGGTGATCAGACAAATTTGGCTACTAAAAACATCAATGGCATTAATTCAGGAAGGGTTTTCAAATTTATTTTTAGGGTACAGTAATTCGAAAGCTTTCTGATGTCTCGATAATCGTGTAGAAGATCCTTTTTTGGCTTGTATGGTCAACCAAGAACTCAAACACAAAAGAGTATGTTAATAAATAGTGTGCACCCAAAAATCAAGCAAGATCAAAGCACAAACTCTTATAAATATATTTTAAGACATTTAACTTTTATGGTTTCCTCGCACAGGCAGGGCATGAAAATTGTTTATTTACCTAGGTTTTTATTCCCAATTTGTTTTCAACCACAGTCGACTATTTACTTTCGTTCGCACATAAATAATTTAATTGAAATTTAACCGGCAAAAATTAAAAAGCAAATACGTGTATCAATGCGTGCTCAAGCAATGACCTTTACCTGCCTATCGGCCAGGTGGAGGCCAGGGGATAAGCGGCCTATCGAAACCCTCTCGGCCAGTAGGTGTAAATTGATGGAAGCCACACCAGTCCCATACCCAGACCCAGACACCAAGCCATACCCACAAACCCGTACTCACTCCCAGAGCTGGTGCCAGATCCATTCGCTCGCATGTTTGGCAGCCAAAGCACACAGCATAAATAATTAAATGAAATATTTACAAGCGAAATTAACAACAATTTGTAGTTTTAAGCTCGTTACGATCCCCACAATCGGAACCCGAATCAAAACAGAACCAGAATCGTGGCTCGGAATTGCATTGGGTTTGGTCAACAGAACAAAAGTTCCCCGCCGATTTGCCTTATATCAAATTTCACCCTTCATTTCGGAGCCCGAAATAGCGTATATATATGCTGTTTAATAAGTTGTCCGTGCGTTATCATAAAATTAAGTTTATCATTGGTTAGCATAGAAATTAAGTTGCGGGTATATAATAAACAAAATAGAAAGAAACCAAAATCAACCGCCCCAAAGTGGTTGAACAGTGGACGGCAAACGTATTTGGATTAGTCTAGTTTTCAGTTCTGCGAATTTTACACTATTTACAAAACATAATTAACAATATTATTTTAATGTGATCTGCACGACTTGAAATAAGAAATCAGAATTTCAAAAAGTTCAAGATGAGAGAAAAATGTGTTTATGGTACCAGAAATTATTTTACACATTAAATATATTTCTTCTGAAAGATAAAATTTTTATAATTCTTTGAAAATATATATCTTTTTATTTGTGTTGAATTGTAAAGGCTGTATGCCCTTGAATCAGTCAAGCTCAGTAAATATGTCTTTATATACAGTCTTATGAGATATCTTTAAAATGATTTTTTTTGCCCGGATTGGGACTCTTCCCATTTTTCTTAAAGTTTATAACATAAATTATCATAGCTATGTTCCCGTAAATAAAAATATGCCAGTTTTTTAGTAATAGTTTGATTTTAAATATATCGAATTTTGCAAATCTATGGGTTTTATATTTTATTTTTTATAAAGATGGAGAGGATGGCCCTGATCGCGTCTTGATAGTTGCAAACATTTTCTTTACAGCTGCTACAATACTTGTATACCTGAATTTTGGATCACTTTCGTCCCACTGTGCGCTCTATCGTTTTTCCGCTTCCATCGGTCAGCGAGCTTTAGCTCCAGCTCCCCATAGACCCCTGATTGGCATCGCTTGGTGGCAATGGTGCTAAGTGCCGAATGTCGAATGCCGAATGCCGAAGATCATTATGACGATGATGATGATGGAAGGCGGACCCGATAGGGCGGTACGAGAAAGAGAGGGGGTAGAAACCTCGACCCAACATGTGCCATGCGCGACACTGTTGACTTTTTCCAGTTGGACGTTATGTCTTTTCCCCACCGTGCCCATACCTGAGTACCTGCGAGCGATCCGCACGGTGACAGGCCGCATTTCGGTCGCCGCTGGGTCGGCGCAAGTGTCAATAGTACTAATAGACGACGCCGACATCGAAACTTAGGACCGGGCACGTCCACGTTAATGTTCACACCATAGAAAGTGGCGGAGCGCGGGTGCACAGAGTTCTGGGAGCGGTGAAGTTCATTGCCATTTGCTGCGATACGTACACACTCATACGGCATACTGGCAAACACAGCTGCCGACCTGTCATGTGACCATTTTTTATACATCGACAGCAAATACAAATACGCCATAATTAGAATTGCGACAAATTGCCAGCGATTTCTGACCCACACAGCTGCCGCTGAAGGGTCACATATTTCGACCGTCTAGACCTTGGGAAATATCCCCCAAAAAACAAAAAAAAAAACAACGCTAACCTCTGACGCAAGCAATCATCGATAGCTGATTAACTTTCATGGCAGAGTTGAGGGTCCAAGTGGGGAGTGCGGCTTATCAGCCGAATTTTATTATTTCTTTTGACCTCATTTGAAAATCAAATAAGCGCCGGACCAGCTGACTTCCCCCTTGCCCTTTATGCAAACTCTGCTCTGTTGTTATCGCGCCCCCTCCTCAAAAGAGCGACAGGGTTCAACCTTTGTTCCCGACTTGTTCCGTAAGAGGAGTAAATAAACCGAATATATATAGGAGTATCAGTAAGTCAAGAAGGTAATATTGAAGCACGCTGATAAATGGGGTCTCTGGCTGAGGTTCGGGTTGTGGTATCAGGGCAGCGGGAATGGGAGCGATTCGGCCTATCTACGGCACAAGGCCCTGAACCGATTTCGTGTCGAGTTCGATTCCGCTTGGCCTCTTCAATGGCTGGCTATTCTATTTACCCTCTATTTATTTTTGCCTCGTTCTATTCTATTCTTTATATCTGATAGTCGTTGCGAGGTTTATTGATTAGAGCGCTTGAGTGTATCTTGCTAAAAGCATTATTTGTGACCCCTTGTTGTGAAATATGAAATATGTTTAAATAGTAAATCGGAATTTATAAACTGCTATCCCATTAAAAAAAGTCTCAAGTTCCAATGAGAAAAATATGAATTAAACCAAATATGGTACTGAATTATAGCTTTGCATAGATGGAATTAATAAATATTTTATTTACAAATGTTTATAAGTCCAATTAGAAAAAAATCTTCAGATGGTTGATAGCCGGCAACGATCAGCAATTGAACCCGATGATAGAGATTGGCCGTGTTCTTAACAATTCGAGTTCAGGATTACCTGTTTTTTTTACTTTTTAGTTAGTTTACTGTACACTCGAAGAACTTAACCTTAGCATTCTTACTCGACCGTTTGTATTCGCTTTGTTTTTTGTCACATTTCTTATAGATAAACATTTATGATGGCCTATCAGTATCTGTATCTGCATCGCTCTGCTCCGCTTCAGTTTTAGCTCGAGTTCAGTCAGTTTCAGTTTCCTTTTTACGTGATTTCTTGTATCTCAAGTGTTGTGCTCTGGTCGCGGGGTCTTATCGCCTTGTTTGTCCAAGTGCCAGTTGAACTATATATGTATGTTAGTCATGATGATGATGGTGACGATGATGATGATGATGATGATGTATATATTCCTATATAGGGGGCTTAGTACTCGTATATGGCCTTCTCATGGTTCACGATGTTTTCGTCAGCGTGTGTTTTCCCCTCTGCTCTCTTTTGTTGTTCCCAATTCTTTGGGTCGTTTTTTGTGGTTTTTGAAAATCATGTCGCATTTATTAGATCATCAAAAGGTGTTAAAGATTGTGGTGCCCGTTTCACTGATAATATTTGGCCTGGCCTTTTGTACGACTTTCTGGAGCTCCAGTTCAATTGTTGTTTGCCACATTGGGTGAAAGTAATTCAAAGTTCATTAGAGATCTCCCATCTAACTGTTTACGCGGCTTGCCCGAAAATTACCCAGCTTGCCTATCGTATACTTTTTTGATTTATCATATCTGT